AGGTCCCAAACACGCTCCATTAAACCCGGGCCCACACGGGGGAACCCTTCCGGAAAGGCAACAACCGTGTCTTTTGGCGGTTTGTTGGGTGGAGATAAGTGTCCCTGGCCCCGGCAGCAACACAGTGATCAACCTGGCAACACAAGGGAAGGGCAACACAGTGATCAACCTGGCAACACAAGGGCAAGGCAAACACGTGATCAACCTGGCAACACAAGGGCAAGGAAAACACAGTGATAAACCCTGGCAACAAAAGGGGCCCAAGGCAACACAGTGATCAACCGGGAAAACACAAGGGCAAGGCAACACAGTGATCAACTGGAACACAAGGGCAAGGCAAACACAGTGATCAACCTGGCCAAAAAACAAGGGAAGGCAAACGGGAAAAAGTGATCAACCTGCAACACAAGGGCAAGGCAACACAGTGATCAACCTGGCAACACAAGGGCAAGGCAACACAGTGATAAACCTGCAACACAAGGGCAAGGCAACACAGGTCACCTGGCAACACAAGGCAAGGCAACACGTGATCAACCTGGCAACACAAGGCAAGCAACACAGTGATCAACCTGGCACCACAAGGGCAAGCAACCAGTGTCAACCTGAAACACAAGGGCAAGCAACACAGTGATCACCTGGCACACAGGCAAGGCAACACAGTGATCAACCTGCCAACACAAGGGCAAGGCACCAGTGATCAACCTGGCAACACAAGGAAAGGGCAACACTGATCACCTGGCAACACAAGGGCAAGCCAACCAGTGATCAACCTGGCAAACAAGGGCAGGCCCAACACAGTGATCAACCGGGCCCAACAAAAGGGCAAGGCAACACGTTCACCGGCAAACACAAGGGCAGGCAACACAGTGATCAACCTCAACAAAAACAACAACAAAAACCCAAAACAAAGCAACAACACATTAACCCAACACAACACAACACAAAAACCCTGCAAAAACAACAACACAAAACAACCCAACACAACAACAACCAACAACCAACACCAAACACAACACCAACACAAACAAAATAACCTCAAACAACACAAAAAAACCCACAAAACACAAACAACCAACACAACACAACACATAAAACCCAAACACAACAACAAAAAAGTGATCAACTAAAAAAACAAGGCAAATAACCCAACAAAGGGCAAGAAACAGACAATAAAAGGCAAAACACAGTGATCAACCGGGCCCAAAAAAAAGGAAGAAAAAACAAGAGCAAGCAACACAGTGATCAACCTGGCAACAAAAAAGGGAAGGCAACACAGTGATCAACTGGCAACACAAGGGAAGAAAACACAGTGATCAACTGGCAAAACACAAGGGAAGGCAACACAGTGATAAAACTGGCAAACACAAGGGCAAGCAAAAAAAAGTGATCAACCTGGCAACACAAGGGCAAGGCAACACAGTGATCAACCTGGCAAACAAGGGCAAGGCAACACAGTGATCAACCTGGCAACACAAGGGCAAGGCAACACAGTGATCAACCTGGCAACACAAGGGCAAGGCAACACAGTGATCAACCTGTCAACACAAGGGCAAGGCAACACAGTGATCAACCTGGCAACACAAGGGCAAGGCAACACAGTGATCAACCTGGCAACACAAGGGCAAGGCAACACAGTGATCAACCTGGCAACACAAGGGCAAGGCAACACAGTGATCAACCTGGCAACACAAGGGCCAAGGCAACCAGTGATCAACCTGGCAAACACAAGGGCAAGGGCAACACAGTGATCAACCTGGCAACACAAGGGCAAGGCAACACAGTGATAAACCCTGGGCAACCAGGGCAAGGCAACACAGTGATAAACCCTGGAAACACAAGGGCAAGGCAACACAGTGATCAACCTGGCAACACAAGGGCAAGGCAACACAGTGATCAACCTGGCAACACAAGGGCAAGGCAACACATTGATCAACCTGGCAACACAAGGGCAAGGCAACACAGTGATCAACCTGTCAACACAAGGGCAAGGCAACACATTGATCAACCTGGCAACACAAGGGCAAGTCAACACAGTGATAAACCCTGGCAACACAAGGGCAAGGCAACACAGTGATCAACCTGGCAACACAAGGGCAAGGCAACACAGTGATCAACCTGGCAACACAAGGGCAAGGCAACACAGTGATCAACCTGGCAACACAAGGGCAAGGCAACACAGTGATCACCTGGCAAAAACAAGGGCAAGGCAAACACAGTGATCAACCTGGCAAACAAGGCAGGTAGGCAGGGTTGTTAAGTCGCCTTGGCAGGGGAAGTCGCCTCTCAATTTACTTACATTAGGCAGTGGGGGGCCCCAAAAAACTGCTTTTGCTCGGGAGTGCCAGGTGACTGGTCGAGGATGCGTGTTAGTGTGTCACCAATCTTCTATACAATATATTCCACGTGAACCGCATTATTATTATTATTATTATTATTATTATTATTATTATTATTATTATTATTATTTTATTATTATTATTATTATTATTATTATTATTATTATTATTGCTATCATCATTATCGTCATTATCATCATCATAATCATCATAATTATAATAATAATAGAGTACAAAGGTTGTAGGCTGAACCATTAACGTCATAATAATAATAATAATAATAATAATAATAATAATAAAAGAGAGTAGAGAAGATGCAGGTTGAACCATTAACGTCAAAGTTTTAATCTTTCTAAGCTGAAAATGAAAAAACAAGATCAACGAACTTAAAGCGTTTTAATAAAACTTTCCTCCAACCAGCTTAATCACCTTCCAAGACCAAGCTTCCTAAGCTTGATCTCCTTCCAGGATTAAGCTTCTTACGTCACCGCCTAACACCAGCTGTGTGTGTGTGTGTGTGTGTGTGTGTGTGTGTGTATGTGTGTGTGTGTGTGTGTGTGTGTGTGTGTGTGTGTGTGTGTGTGTGTGTGTGTGTGTGTGTGTGTGTGTGTGTTGTGTGTGTTCTCACAAAGTCCTTGGTTATATTGTTTATCTCAGTATAATCAGTACTTAGAAAGAGAGAGAGAGAGAGGTACCATTGCAGCAGCATCATTGGCGATAAGATACCTGGGTACTGTACCCTGAGGCAGCCTGCCCTAGTACTCAAGGCACCCGCCTCACATCTGTACCTGTAGCGCTCGTCACTGTATCCACCAGTATCGTCTGTGTATCGTCAGCTTCGTCTGTGTATCTTCTGAACATCGTAAGGCTCGTCTGTGCATTACTAATATCGTCTGTATCATTAGCGTCTATGTATCATGTATACCAAGGGAGAAGTGGAAAGATATAGAAAGTTGAAGGAATCAATAACTATAGAAGCAGTTGAAAGTCATCTTAGTAACTGAGTGTCAGTATGGTGTTACGAAAGGGTGTTTATACCTGACGAATTCACTAAGCATACACAGGTAACCCGAACAAAGGAGAGAGATGATCTTATGACGACATTTCGGTCCATCTTGGACAATTTACAAGTCGAAAGTTAAGACACATGTGCAACATCTGGATATCTTTATTGTAGACGTTTCGCCATCCAGTGGCTTTATCAATACAGATTCTAGGACATAATAGGAAGACAGTAGAACTATATACAAAAGATGAGGTAATCAGTCCCTCGGCCTTGGAGTTAGTGTTCACAGCATCGTGGTGGAGGAGAGTCTGGAGCAAAGGCAAGAAGACGCGTTTATATAGGCGTCAGTGGAAGGGACGGGCAGCAGACGAGGGCATAGTCACTGGTAGGCGGGATTCCCCAGTGGAAGTAGGTCCTTCCCAAAGAGATGGGTTAGTTGCAGCAGCCGTGAAGGTCTTGTAGATGTCCTCTGAACCAAGATTCCATGATGTTGCAGTGTCTGACAAGTTGTGCAAGAAAGGTATAAAATACCGACAATATGAAAGTTAAGACACACCACGATGCTGTGAACACTAACTCCAAGGCTGAGGGACTGATTACCTCATCTTTTGTATATAGTTCTACTGTCTTCCTATTATGTCCTAGAATCTGTATTGATAAAGCCACTGGATGGCGAAACGTCTACAATAAAGATATCCAGATGTTGCACATGTGTCTTAACTTTCATATTGTCGGTATTTTATACCTTTCTTGCACAATTTACAAGTCGCACTGACAGAAGGGGGTGAGTCAAAATATACATAACCTAACTTTTCACACCAAGGTATTCGAGGCGTTAGAGCAAGATTAAAGAATACGATATTGTGTGTATGAACTTCAGTAAGGTGGTTGATGAAGTTCCACACAGGAGACTGATTAAGAAAGCAGCGGCACATGGTATAAGAGGAGAAATTATCTTCATGGTCGAGGCATGACTGGCAACAGAGAGAGTGCATTAATGGGGAATTACTGCTTTGTTAATAGAGTTGTAGATGAGTGGAGCAAACTCCCAGGTGGTGCCACTGAGGCAAGAACTTTGGATAGTTTTAAATATAGCTTTGACGGGTACTTGAGTGAATGTGGGTGGGTGCGAGTTGGACCTGCCTAGCATGGGTCAGCAGGTCTGCTGCAGTGTTCGTTCATTTTTATGTGTATTGTGTGATGCTCTTTTGTTTATATACATCCCGACGTATTCCAGTGTCCTCAGAGGTATCTTCAATAATATATTCACAAGGAAGCGCTAAACCCATAGCGGAATCGTTTAGTGGGCCAGAGGAACAACAATAGCTACAAATTTCCACATCCGTCATCTTGTTTGTTTTGGTGTGAATCAGTGACGGGAGCGAGCAGGGGGGGGGGCGCCTGTTCTGAGATCAGCTGTTTTGCGATCGGCTGTTGGTTTGTTTACACCCTCGATGTTGTCATATTTTAACGTTCGAGGCATCGAGCCTCCACCACATGTTAGCCTTGGATGATCCACACGGGTTTAGCGCTGACCTGTGTTAGATAAACCTGAGATAACCAGTTTTAAAACACAGATGTAAGATGGTCTTTCTCTGACAGACCGGCATGGGGACCAAGAAGGAGGTTGGAAAGCCAGGACCAGATTTCCTTACCTG